AAATGACACAAATATTCACTAAAATTAGAGATTGAAGATATCGTCATGAAATACAGAATCTGACAGAGATTCACCCAAGGTACCTACAAATAAAGTTACAAATTAAGCAATTGGATTAGCAGTTTTCAAGAAGAAGTTGAAAATAACGTTTTTGACCAACAATTACAAAAATATTCATCAAAATTAGAGAATTGAAGATATTGTCACAAAATCAACAAATCTTACAGATGTCCACCTGATATACCTACATATACAATATCAAAGCAATTGGACAAGCAGTTTTCAAGGAGAAGTCGAAAATATAATTTTTTAACAAAAATGACAAAAATATTCATCAAAATTAGAGAATTGAAGATGTCGTCACAAAATCAACAAATCTGACAGAGGTCCACCTGATGTACCTACATATACAATATCAAAGCAATCAGACTAGCAGTTTTCAAGGAGAAGTCGAAAATATAATTTTTTACCAAAAATGACAAAAATATTCATCAAAATTAGAGAAATGAAGATATCATCACGAAATGAACAAATCTGAGAGAGGTCCACCCAAGGTATGTACATACCAAGTATCAAAGCATTTGGGCTAGCGGTTTTCAAGAAGAAGTCGAAAATAGCATTTTTGACCAAAAATGACACAAATATTCGCTATAAATAAGACAATTGAACATATCCACATGAAATGAACAAATCTGAGAGAGAACCACCCAAGGTACCTTCCTAGAAAGTTTCACAGCTATACAGTTTGTGGTTTATAAGAAGAAGTCAAAAATGTAAAGTTGACGACGGCGACGGTGACGACGACGGACGCCGACGGACAATCAGTAATACTATAAGCACCGCTCGACTTCGTCGACAGCGGAGCTAAAAAAATCAACTCTACGAACAAAATATACGACAACATTAAACGAAATGGTTAACCTTATCAGGTGCAATCAGACAAAGTGGTTAGCAGGCGAATAACACATTGTGGCGACAAGCTAATACAATTAAATGTTTATGAGTTTTATAGCATTTTATGTTGCTGTGTATATTAGGTAAACGTCAGCGCTTTCACGATAATTCATTCGCCAAATATCTACCAGCCAAATCACCGAGTGAAAAGAAGCAACGAGGATATGGATAAAGCTTCGCTGACGTAATCATACAGACACATCACGTGATCCTGAAACCCGCAACAACTCATTGTGTACAACTTGCCATTATGATTCATGAATAATTACCACGTGACGTCTTAATTTAAAAACTACAGGAGTTGTAATTCAAATATTCAATCTAGTCATTAGTAATACCTGTACAAAAATATTCAATTGTGAGCAAATTCATTAATCGTATAAACAATTGACAGAACAAAGTCTGGGCTAAGTAAATGTTATCGAAGTAGAATGAAAATATAAGGCAAATTTCAACAATGCATTCCATTTTATTTGAGACTAATGTATTGTTGACACTAGGTTTCAATAAAAATTAAATAAAAGGTTACTTCTGGTCCACTAACCTATATGTTCGACATATAAATGTGTCCAGTTGTTGGCGTACGTGCGGAACATGGGACTGGAACAAGCAAACGTTAGTGGAAGGTAACAAGGTCACCCATGCAGTCAGATTATTTACAACCATTTCTCTATGAAATCTTTGTTCTAAAACGTCACGCTTGTGGGACCTTTTACTTCGCAGGCATATTATTCAACAGTGTTGGCGAGTCTCGCCATTTTCCCCCATGAACGGCTTATTTAAATATGAATGCACATACACAGTCTAATGTTGCTAGATAATTAGAGTTCAAGCCAATATGTCTCGCGGTACATTATTTTGTCACCATCTGGCTCGTCTTCCATTATTTATTTAGTCGAGTTTTTTAGTATAAATTCCCTGCTAATTCAGGTTGATGGAGTCCGACCTGGTTCATTAAATTCGATGAATGATTACCGGCTTATCAAGAATAATTCATTCATTCAAACATATGTTAATTGTGGATAATAAACGCAGAAATTGAGATACATTAAATGCAGTACAATTACGGTTATTCAATTGTCGCTATGTGTACTTTATTGGTCAAAATGTCACGTGACACTGGTCAGGCCGAGCATAAGCGAAACACCTTTTGGAATATTCAACAAGTGCGTGGGAATCATTAGTTTCTAGTCAAAACATTTGTTTATTGCACTCAAAAATTGTCAGTACTCAACCAAGCTTCCTATCGAGTGTTGAAGTCAAAGAAATAAATTGGTTTTGATTTTCAGTAAATGGATTTTATTTTCGTTAGTAATCCGCCATTGCCGATAGAAAATCCGTGAGGATGTGTTTAACTCTTCTACTGCCTATCAGCAGTTACATGGCTAAGTATACAGTGGCGTAGCGACCGGAACAGCATACATGTATACAAGGTTATTTTTTTCAGTTTCGCCGCTACTGCTCGCCGATTAACTGTCACTTTGCGTAAAGACCGGTAATATAAGCGACCCAGATTTTCGTGAAAATGATCAGCACTAGAGGGCGCTGTTTGATCTGGATGGAGTAATATTATTACAGTGAAATATTGATGTGCCCTTACATTTACGGCGGATCAAAATCATGTCTTTAAAAACACGTTGAAATCAATTTTTCGAATATTTTTGTTCAGTTCGTAACGATCAGTAAACAACCACATTGGATATAAGGATGAATTTTGGCACAGTTATCATTGAAAAGACGATTCTATAAATTCTACGTAATCACCTTCCTGTATGCAAATAAATAGTAAGCGCGAAGAAAATTCTACAGGTGTCATGAAATGAATCTGCCATTTATTTATTTGCGTACATGTCCGCTAAACTCCGTAATACACATTTCATAGAAATCACATTATCAGGACAGTTTTAAAATTCGGGTAATTTGTTGTCTTTCCAGCTACTTTAATGTTTTATAAATGATAGAAATGTTAAACCTTGCGTACATGAAATTTATGTGAGACACAATTGCCATAGTACTATTTCTAGCGTTAATTGTGAAAAAATACCGTATAAGATCAGATAATTAACTCGTTTATTGAAAATAAATAAATCACGAGAATTCAGTAATAACCGTAGTATATTCATGAACAGGGGTGCAATTCCTATCCTGTGAAACAAAACGTCCTGCGTTTTGAAATTCAAATTGTTCAATTGAATATGCAAATTGGCGTATTGATGAATGCTTGGCGAAGTTTTGAAAACAGAAAATTGCTGCAATATTTGAAATAGCTTGTGTTTTACTGAATGAGCGAACTGTAGATTTATCTACCATTGCTGACTAGGTTAAAGGGCGGCAGTCGTCGCGCCACGCATGGACGAGATATATGGGTCTCATATAAGCAAATATAGCGACTTTGACTGTTGCGCAACGAGTATAAACTAAGACGTTACCAATCTTCAATTAGGTATGTTTTTGATGATTGGAAGGTATAGAAGGAGTCGCCGGCGGTAATAAGTGCAAGTTGCGCCCAGTTCAAACCTCATACTTGTGATTTTCATTAGAAAAGCGCATTGAATTGTTGGAAAATCAATGTGTATCAACACAAATGTAGTACATGCGCAGCGCGACGACCACCTCCTATTAAACTATTATTGGATAATGTGAGTTGTACACCAATTTGTCATTCATTTTTAGTGAGTGGCAAACTAACATGAATTAACATTGTTATAAAGCAAACTAACTAAAATAATCCTGATGAACCAAACTTGAATCACGGTGAGAATAATATATAGATATTATGTATATAGTATGCATAAAATCACAGTACACTTATTTCTGAACAAATCTTGTCCCAATACATCTTAGCCCATAAAGTATTAACATTAGGTATTTGTTATCGCTACAATGAACACAATAATTTTCATCATTATTACTGTATATTTATACTAAAAAATAGTTGTACACTGTACTTCTTAAAACAGGGTATCATTGAACCGATATCACCTTGATGTCAACTGGAATTACGACACATAACAACCCGGGAAACCAACCTCATTATTTTAGTATTCATTACTAAAATGCATATAGTTATGACAAGTATCTTGAAAATAAGTCGCCAACTTATTATGCAAATCGATTTGTACGTGAATCATATCACATAATCTACACAATTTCAGCATACCTCCTTATTGCATTCTAACCTAATTTAACCTTGCTGCATGCACATACAACACATACACATTTACGAGAACGAATACGTAACATATTGAATATAGCACGTGACGTCGGGATGTGAATGGAACGAGTACATTAATTAACAATATATAATTAGGATATTTCCATGTTAACATTTAGAATTGTTTGACTAATTTGATTTAATTAACAATTGTATCACTTACATATCGGTATTATTTGATAAGATAATAGCTAAATAAAATGTTCACATCTACAACTTTTATATTGTTTGTCACGAGGTCAATCTTTAGTTGTCTTTCTTGTATATATCTATATAGTGGTACACAGTGCAGTCATGTATATTTGCATAACAATGGTGGTGCTATCACAGTGTAGAAAGGTGGGCCACCCCCGTATTTAAAATAGATGCGCCATTATCCGAAGTGTGGCTAGTGGCAAACCATGATTGGCTGAATTTAACTATTTACGTTTGGCAAGGTGAAGTGCACAAACACAAAGAGTATGCCAGTATAATGGAGTTCATGGTAGATTAACAAAGATGTAAACAGAATTGCTATAAGGGCCACCCTCTCCGTTCGGTGTACACTGAACTGAAGAATCATACGTATTGTATGTTTTGCAAGCGGTGCAACTTGATGCGCACCATCCTCCATTCTGAACCGCAAACATTCCGTAACCATGATCTATAGCTACGGAAGCACATTTCTCAATAGGATTTATGCGTGTTTTGTAGTATCCATCGAGTCGTGAATCAGTACCTTCAAGGGTAGGGATAGCACGTGCATATGTGTCAGTAAAACACCCAATTAATAAGTAACCTGTAAAAGAAGGACACAAACGCATGTATCTAGAAAAGATTGAAAATATTGATTTTGAAATTAGTCTAGTAAACATACTAGTAGCCAATATACTTACCACATCTCGCTCCGGTACATGGACATAATGGTATATTATATAACGAGCAAATATCACCACAATTAGCAGAGCATGGTGTTTCTGCTGTGACTGCAATATATTATAAGACATAGTGTTACATTGTATAAGATACATATGTGTTATAGCATGCTTCTATGTAACTGTGGTGATTTATTTCTTTCAATGTATAAATAGATAAGTTTATATTAATTAGGTTCACATGTTAGTAATGCGACAATGCACTCATTTGGAAATACGCTTACCTGTTTGAATTGAGAACATAGTTGTTTTTTTGTCATTGCCTGTAATGATGTTAGTATTATAATAGGTTTTTTAAAAATTCGATACAATTTTATTCAACAATAACACAACTAGGTATATTATGCGTG